AGTGTGGGGGGGGGGGGAGGGGATGGTGAAGGCGACGTACCGGCACGCTGGGGTCGCTGAACAGGATGGGGCTCTCCAGCGCAGTGCAGCAGCGCAGCTGGTGGCCCTCGAGCGGGCGCGCTGCGGCGTGCGGTGCGGCGAGCATGAGGGCGAGGAGGACTGCGAGCGGGAGATGGTGCACACGAGCAGCATGGTTGAGCGATTGGGGCGGGGCAGGCATGTGGGGCGGGGAAGTGCACGCCCGTCGATGGTGGGCAGAGGAAGGGGCAATGTGCGGAAAGCCGACGAACTATGCTGGTGAGGCTGTTGGTGGTAGCAATGCAATTCGAGATAGAAATTAGATCGTCAGGAATGTTTGTTGGATATCACTACTACATACAGTATACTGTTGACATCCCTCTCCACAGTCTCCTGGCCGGGGGGTGCCCCCCTCTTATCACAAGGTTGTTGAGTGGGCGGTGGGGGGGGCACGGGTGGTGCCGGCGTGAGGTGATGGAATATAGTGACGTGGATTTTGGGATTTGCAACGACTAGATGAATGGCAACAGGTTCCCTGTTGTGGGATCAGGTGGCATCCTCGCTCCCGTACTTGTAAGAAATCTAGCGGTGGTGGACAGATGTGCCTCTCATACATGCTGTACGGCGTATTAGTGGACGGCTTTCGCACTTAGCTACTTTGCTCTGATGCTCTCTATGCATCCTGTAGCATGCACACAGTGCATTCAAAGCAGACACACCTTTCCACGACAGCACTCCGAAGGCATATACGGAGAAAGTCCAGTTGCTGCCCCTTGACGAGTCTGTGCGAAGGGATTCAATACGGGAGTGAGTATTTAGTTGGGGGGGCAGGCTGAGGTCAGTATGCAGGCTGGGACTTGAGGGTTATGGCAAGTAGGCAAAGTGCCCTTGGTTTTGCTTTTATCTGATGCTGAGATAGTGCTGTGCTTAGGCGCTGGCCTCAATAAAGCGAAGCGAGGGAGTTGAGCTTAAGTACACTGGTAAAAGTTCATGCAAGAACAAAATGCAAAGGACAGGGGATGTGTAACTATGCTACAAAGCACGACAAGATTTTGAAGGAGAGTGCGTACGACGTCTCCATCTGACGTGCAAGTGCAAGTCTGAAACTAATCCGCTGTTTAGAACGACCCTCGAATGCTTCTGCCATGCAATTACAGTGGAGTGGTGCACCCTCCTCTACTGTAACTGTAACTTGAACAGGAGATCAAACTTCATTCATGATCAGCTTGCATTGCTGTTGTACACTTGTACAGTATAGCTGTACAGTTAAAGAATCCCCGGACATAGGGAGCTGATTCGGGACACAGTAGTGGTTTGGGGAGCTCAAGGATGGTTTTGACGGAGGGAAAGCGGTGGCACGTTTGTTCAGCACAAGTGCTGGCTCTTCGCTGCTTCTCTTCTTTTGTTATCGCTGCATCTATCATGCTTAAGTACGTATCGCATCGCCCCTATCGCCTACACTCTGCATTGCGCTCTGTCGCTTTTGCATTACGCCGTCTCGCTGCAGTGCTCTTCGTCCATGCTGCGTTGCATGTCGCTGGATGCTTTGGTTCGTATCTTATCGCTGTGCTGCGCAATGCATTCTCGCATTCAGGTCACCTCATCCCGCCTGATGAGCTTTGTTTGCTTGTAAACTTACGCTCCTTGCTTACCGCCATTGCTGAATATTCTTCAGTATTTCAGCATTCATATTTGCCGCGCTCCTTCGTTTCTTGCGTCGCGTCCGTTCCGCTCGCAGTGTTCCCTCCACTTCCTTTGTCCGATTTGCTGCATCTCGCCGTCGCATAATTGCTGAAGGTTTAGTGACGTATTGCTAACTAGATCCGATTTTAATGATCTAATCCATTTGCATTTCCACAACAGTAGAGTTGTACAGTACAACTGTACCCTCCGAAGGGTACAGCTCATGATTGATAGAGGGAAGCTCAAATTTATCGTAAAATTGAAGAAAAAAGTTAAACCCTCGTTGGCCACTATTCTTCTCACACGTGTGGAGCTGTGCACGTGTTCCCATCGCCTCTCAACATTCAGATTGGCCCCCGCCTTGACCTTGTGAGTCGGTCTGCAACGCTTCTCAACACACCGTTCATTCACGAATACCTTTATATCTTCACTCGCCCGCAACTAATGGCCAGCTGCCTGCACATCATTGCATTGCACAAGATATTAAATTGAGCACAAGAGCGCACGATGAACGGAAGCAGGTCGCTAGTTCATACATACACATACATACACATACATACACATACATGGATTGCAACGTCCGTGAGGCGAGCTTCTCACGCATTCATAAAAACAATAACGAAGCAAAAAACCCCAACGCACTACTGCTGTCACGGGCGGCAAGCGGCCATCGCACTTCGATACTTACTTACACCACTAGCTTCATGATAGCAACCAGATTGCCCGCCCCTGCAACTGCGACCCCGTGATCGTGGTCTATCTGCAAGTCTGCTACGCCACTCTCCAACTGGGCCAAGACAGCCACAGACCCATCCTCTCGCCTTTGCACAATTCCTCCGTCCCTTGAAAATATTTCTGATCTTCGTCCTGCGCGGGAAGCAGTACCCAAGCCTGCCGTCTTCAGGAACCGACTCCTGATTTCTTCCCAATCCTCTTCCCTCCCAGTATGAAGTGTGATCCCTCTCTCCACGTCCCACACCCGCACGCTCCCGTCCCACGATCCAGATACCACACATCTTCCGTCCCCACTCATCGCAACGCTATTCACAGAACTCGTGTGTCCAACTAACGCGTCCCCGACTTGTGCTCCCGTCTCCACGTCCCACACCCGCACGCTCTTGTCCCACGATCCAGATACCACACGTCTTCCGTCCCCACTCATCGCAACGCTAAGCACCCAACCCGTGTGTCCAACTAACGCGTCCCCGACTTGTGCTCCCGTCTCCACGTCCCACACCCGCACGCTCTTGTCCCACGATCCAGATACCACACGTCTTCCGTCCCCACTCATCGCAACGCTATTCACCGAACCCGTGTGTCCAACTAACGCCTCCCCGACTTGTGCTCCCGTCTCCACGTCCCACACCCGCACGCTCTTGTCCTCCGATCCAGATACCACACGTCTTCCGTCCCCACTCATCGCAACGCTAATCACCCAACCCGTGTGTCCAACTAACGCCTCCCCGACTTGTGCTCCCGTCTCCACGTCCCACACCCGCACGCTCTTGTCCTCACGATCCAGATACCACACGTCCTCCGTCCCCACTCATCGCAACGCTAGTCACCGGATCCGTGTGTCCAAATAACGCCTCCCCGACTTGTGTTCCCATCTCCACGTCCCACACCCGCACGCTCTTGTCATCCGATCCAGATACCACACGTCTTCCGTCCCCACTCATCGCAACGCTACTCCACCCCCGTATGTCCAACTAACGCCTCCCCGACTTGTGCTCCCGTCTCCACGTCCCACACCCGCACGCTCTTGTCAAACGATCCAGATACCACACGTCTTCCGTCCCCACTCATCGCAACGCTAGCCACTCCACCCGTGTGTCCAACTAACGCCTCCCCGACTTGTGCTCCCGTCTCTACGTCCCACACCCGCACGCTCTTGTCCCGGGATCCAGATACCACACGTCTTCCGTCCCCACTCATCGCAACACAAATCACTCTCGACTTGTGACCGCGGAAAATTCTCAATACTTTCCTCTCCGACGTACTCCACAGCCTCAACGTCCCGTCTTCATATCCCACAACAACATTCTCCTTCCTCTCACAGAGAATTGCGCAGGTGGGTCTTGTCACGCTCGGGTTTTCTGCAGTCACGCTCGAGTTTTCTCCAGTCACTTCGGAGGTTAAACTTCCAAAGCACATTCCAAAATATGCCCTGAAACGTCGACACATTTTGCGCCTGCTTGCTTCAAGATCCCCTGGGCCCTGGCTCTCCGTTTCGAACTCGCCTTCTAATTGACTGCTTGGTTCATTGGCCCCTGGGCCCTGGCTCTCCGTTTCGAACTCGCCTTCCAATTCAACTATCTTCGTCTCCTTCTCAGCAGATTGCGTGAAAACTGCTACTTTTGTCCCGGACTCCTCCACCTGACATCCATACACTTCACCCCTGGAATCCATGCCCACTGCAATTCCTCTAGCAAAGTAATATGGCAGAACAATCTGCTCCACCATCTTTCCATCGGCTCTCGCTACACACTCACTCACAGGCCGCACCCACGGCCGTGGTGCGTATCTCTCAATTTCCTCCAGCATTTTTCGCACACAACTTGAATCCCGTGCCTTGTGCTTCACTCGCCCATATAGTTGAAAGTAAATCCCGGCACTGTTTTCACCACAAAACGGTACACTCAGCCGCACAGCCCGCATCATCAAAACCATTCCATCCACTTCATCCTCATCTCCCCGTCCCATTCCCACCTTCCCGCTTCCTCTTTTCCCCTTCAAGTCTCTACTCAATCCCTTCACAGCTTCCTCGTATTGCCAAACCCCGCCTCTCCGTATCACTGTCTTCACCCATCGCGCACTCAAAAATAGCCTCTTCAGCTCCTCTACACACCCACCCTGCTTCAAAACACGATATATATTCTCGAAAACATACTCCTCCCGTGCGCTCTTCCCCTCTCCGTCTCGGTCCTCACTCATCGCAAGCAACCCTTCTCCTGCCCTGCACACATCCGCCATCTTCTTATACCACTCTTCTACACCCTCCTTCTTCTTCGCTTCTTCCACCGCGAAATCGTGCGTCAGATCATGCACCCGCAACCCACCACAACCCTTCTCATACTGCACTTCTACTAGTCCAACCCTTTCCATCTCCTTTGCACACCTTTCCGTCCGCTCCTTGTCCATCTCCCACAAATCTCCAACCAAACTCAAAGGTATCCGGTCTTGCTTCTTCATAACGCACAGACTCCGGTGCATCTTTCGAAACGAAAATTCATCAACCGTCTCCCCACTCCTTCCCACATCCGACTCCAGGATATCTAGTGACGTATGTAATGTCCCATCCAACGACGAATATCCATCCTGCGGACTCTCCCCACGAATCGTGTTACGACTCTTCATCCTCGAAAGGTACGCCCCCCATGCTTCTGATACTTCTCCCTGCCATCTTTCCCTCATGTACCTCACGCTCGTTCCCGCCACGTTCAGAGCAAGCGGCAATCCGCCACACATTTTCAGTATTTCACCCACGGCATCCTTGCATCTCGCATCATCCACTTCCTTTCGATTCGCCTCACTCGCGTGCATAAGCATGTCAACTGCTTCTTTCCCTGCTTTCTCCCTCGGCTCGAAAGCAATCCGCTCTCCAATCTGATGCAGCTCCCTATCCCTCGTGGAGTACAGTAGTCTGCTCGTCCTTCCCCCGCTGCCTCCCAAAGTGCCAGTCAGAACAGACAACTTTTGAAGGATATTCGCGTCCATATCATTCACCACCCACACATCATCAATGATGAACAAACACACATGACTACAAAACCAAGCTTGTACCTTCGCTAACACGCTTTCAAACTCGCTCTGCTCTCGCATTTCCACAGCCCTCTGGTTCCCACCGGACGCTTCCACAATCAGACACAGTTCTTCAATCAGCCGTCCCACGTTTCCATCTTTCCCTAACGACATGAAGTATACTCCTCCCGAAAACTCCGCCTTAATCTCGACATCGTGCGCGATCGCTCGTAGGGCACATGTCTTCCCGACTCCGCCCTGTCCCACTGCTGTGGCACCCACTTGCTCGTTCCTATCTCTCCGTAGCACAGCCGCTTTCAGACGCGACTCACACGTGTTCGGCAATCCATCGCTCCCCTGAGAATTAAGCTTCACACATATCGACGCAGGATTACGTTCCGCTCTTATCGACGCCTTGAACTTATTACCCGTGCCTCGACTGATCGACTCGACGGCCGTGCGAGTATCGATGCCCGCGCTTGCGTGTAGAATGCGATTGTGAAGGCGGTCCGCTTCTTGCTTGCGCTTCTCTAGGACTTCTCTATCTCCCACTGCAGAGGCGTACGCACCGAGTCTCGCTTTTGGGTCTTTCGACTCTTTCCGCAGCTCAGCGAGGGAATTCAATATGAAGCTTGAGATGTCCGCGACTTCACGTTGGAGCAAGCGCGTGTGCTGCGACGACGTTCCATGGATCGGCATGTTTTCAAGCTCCGTGATGTCTGCCTGCAAGGTAGTGTAGGCAGTGAGCACTTCCGTAGAGAGCGTTTTGTTTTCCTTGTAGGCTTTGTGTCGTTCGATGAGACTTGCGATGAGGCGGACGGCTTGCTCAGCCGGGCCGGTGAGGCCCAAGATACTGTATGGATCAGCCATGGTGTTTGCGAATAGGGGGTGTTGTTCGGATTTGAATAGGCGGCGGTGGCAAAGCGGTGCCTACTCTTTTCTATATCTCTCTCTCTCGGAATCTCTTTTTTCTCTCTTGTCGTTGTCAGAGTCGCATTCAGGAGAATACGTCCCAATAATGGCCCTGGGCACCAGAGTCTGTGACCCAGAGCCATACAAATTTGGTCCCAATTAAAGTTTACCAGGGCTCATGGCTCCGTAAAATCCTGGTTGACAATTGATTTTTCTGATATTCGCCTCAAACGGCACTCCCATTGGTCCCGGTGGTGGACCTTGTTGGATTCTGTAAGCAAGGCCTCAATGATGGAATATTTCCATCCACCCTCGATCGGAGCTGTAATGCGATCCGGCATCTTTGAAAAGGTTGATGAATGTTTCTGAAGTTTCAAAGGTTCCCAAAGTGCTGCCGAAAGTTTGATCAACTTTTTCTGCGAAACTCAGAAACATTCTGGAGACGTGCACCCTCGCATTACACTACCAGTCTCCTCCATCAATAGCTGTCCGTTTATTGGGGGCGGTCATATTCTACGAGTAAGTCATGAAAAGGTCCTCGAGGTGATGATCTGGTGCTCGCAGGAGCAGTACTTTTCCATACGTAAGCAATTTGTAAACAGCTCGATTAGCTGTAATGATATCTTCCAACTGAGCCACTTTTCCACAAAACCGAAAAGAATCGGCAAACCATTGCCAAAACGTTGGCGGAAATTTTAGGAGAAACTATAAACGTCCGTGCAAGTTTTGGAAAGACGTGGTCACAAGCATACTGGACTTACAGTGACAGGTATTTCCCGTAGCGATTCCATCATGCTTCGTCCACTGTTGGCAGTGGCGCACCAATGATATTTAAACGAATAAAAATGCGCTACAACACGGCATACCAGGCGAGCTGGGTCATGGACGCAACCCCAGTTGCAAAAATGAGACGGGGCCAGAGCCAGAACGTCTCAGAACGGATAACCGCGCAGGACCTATTCTCCTGATCGCGACACTCACAGTAGGATCTCTTTTCACTTTCCGTCAGTAGACACATTTCCACCACCTGTATGCGTTCAAGTGATTTACTCGCATCATACGACACGGCGCGCTCTGCGGGGCTCTTTGTGGGCGGTCCCGCTGGTCCTGGGCCGCCCAATCGCCTCGACTGGACGACGGCGGCACACAACGCCACGGAATTACCAGACCCTGCATCATTGCATCGCTCTCCGGCATCGACACCGCCCGCGACGCTTCACCCCGCATCGCCTCAGCTGACTGTTCCCCGCATCGCCTCGCCCGCACCGCCCCCTTTCATTCCCCCGGCGCCTCCCCCCATCGCCTCAAGCGCCCGACTCCCGGCCACCTCGCTTTGCCGCTTTGCCCGTCACCCCTTCACCCCCGCACCCTGCATCGACCTGCACATCGCCTCACACCCGGCCAAGTCGCTGGGCCCCCTCGCCTCCCCATCTCTCTACACGCTCCATTGCCAAAACCGCCAGCGCCTCCCCACTCTCGGTGTTCATTTCACCCTTCCGTCCCCCATTGCAGAGGGGGTTTCTCGCTGCTTTACCTTCCTCTCGTCGAGCTGCTTCAAGCAAGTTGTTTCCGGATGGGGAAGTTAAACTCAAAGCAGAGTGCCAAGATGCACTGGTGGTCTGCGAAGCTTTTTTTCACCAGTGCTTCGAAGCAACGTTTCCCAGCCCAGATGACGTCTCTGAAGCGCTTTGTGAATTGGTCGTTGTGCAACCTGCCGAGGTCGAGGCTATACTACGGGTAGTATTAAGTGTAGATTCGTGTGCTGATATCATCATCGATGTAAACGTTTTCTTAGAAGTAGTTACTGCTCTTCATGGGAGCGAAGAGGAAACTTCCCGGGACAACCTAAGGGCTCTTTTTGTAATGAAATGTCACAGATGCAAAGCAGACCGTGAGATACCTAGGTTTTTAAGCACCAAAGGAGAGCCGCGAACGAGATGTAATACCTGTCGAAGAGAAGACCCCATGGACCTTGTTCCCGAAAAAATCTACTTCATGGGTTGGCTTCCATTTGTTGCAGACAAGCAAGCGTTTATTGCAAGGGAGCAGGGGCGTAATTTACAGTCGTCGACGAAGCTGCATTATCCTATCGAATGCTGTTATGCAAGCGATCAGCCTGTGCACCCGGATAACCGCTTAGAGTTTATAACAAAAGTTAAATCTGTCGTTGAAAACGTTGAAGGGTTCCGATATGTTTCGCACAAGAAAGTGTGAAGACACATGCCTATATATGCAGTCAGAGAAGCCATAATGCGGAGGCCAAACGGTGCAAGGCAAGTTCAAGATTACATGACTGTGGTGGCAGGTTGTCTATTTCGTATGACCGAGGTTTAACTCTCAACCTTACGGTGAAGCATACTTTGCTGCACGAAGGGGCCCAGAACAAGCATGTATTATCTGAACAGGAGAAGAAATTTGTTTTACAGCACGCACGGCAGGGTAGTACTCCGTTTCTTATTTGCTCCAACTTGCGGGCGTCTGGACATGTGCTTATTCAGTACCCTCAGGTGTACCAACTGTGGTTGGACCAAATGACATCACAATTTCGAAAGGCTGTCGACCCTAAATAATCTGTGTTACTGTATGCTCAAGAGAGCAAGACGTTCGATGTTTTCTTTCACCAACGCTCGCCGTTTGCTGTCGGTGTCAAATCCAGCATGGCAGATATGCTCTGTCAAGAACACAATATAGTTGAAGGATTTATTGATTCTACGTACAAGACTAATTCATCATCATGGGAACTTTTTGTTGTGATCGGGGCAGTGCTGGGTGCTGGCTTTCCGCTCGCTTACTTTTTTATTGAGTCCGGCAGTGTTTCATCGTCAGAAAACGTGCGGAGAAAGGACACAATATATGAATGTTTCCGAGGATTGTTCGACTCGTTGGTGGCGTTTCGTCCTATCTTCTTCTTTTCAGATAAGGATTCTGGTCAACTGGATGCCATCAAACGAGTGTATAAAATAGATCCGTCTTTTTGCCTCTGGCATCTTAAAAGAGCCATCAAGCAGAGGATTGGAGGTCTACGCAGAGATAAGAAGACTAAAATCTCCCAGGAGCGAGAGACAAAGTTACTTGAGTTGATCAGTCTCCAGTTTAACCGCCATCCTTTTTTCGACCCTGAATTCTCTACAGTTTTCTTTGAACAGCAAGCACGGGAAGAAATAGATCTCTTTTTTTCTCCAGAGGGTGAGGGGACCCTTAAAGCGTACTTGATCAAGAATTGGTACGACGGAAATATGTTTTATTGCTGGGGAAGGCGACTTGCGTCGTGCATCCCCCTCACCAAAACGACAATGATGTGCGAGTCGCATTTCTCAGTTTTAAAGCGCCTTTATCTTTTGCCATACAACCGGCCAAGACCAGATTTAATACTGTACGTCATAGAGACGAAGCTCATGACCAAGTTTAACTCAGACTACCAATTGATGATGAATGGACGAAAGAAACCAAGCTGGTTGCGGGCGTTTGTGCAGGAATGGAAAAAGGCAACATCAAATCTCGTAAAAGGGATTTACAATGTGGATAAGGTTAAATGGACTTG